GTGTGTGTGTGTGTGTGTGTGTGTGTGTGTGTGTGTGTGTGTATGTATGTATGTATGTATGTATATATATATAACTTAATATAACCTTGTAAGATTTACGCAATTTATAATGTCCTTCCTTCATTAATTAAATTTTTTGCGACACAAATAACCCGATAACCTTCAGTATTAAGATAGCACATTACTACTGCCAAGTGAATCGAGCAGTTTATCACTCAACGATGTCATCCGCGGAATTTCATCGAAAGGAGATTCACAGTTAAACATTTGCATGTCAAAAGAATAAGTTGAGTAATTACATTTCGCGACGTTGGCAAAACGCAGCCGGCGTCGAAACGCGTCGTCTGCGTCGTAGCACCGTTTTGGATGAAATCCACAATATCAGATCTTCTCTAACTCAGAACTTCTGGGAACCATCAAACGTCTGAGTCACCGATGACGGTCGCTCAGCGAAAAGTGTTGGGAAAATCGACGAAAAACACGACGCCGTTGATGAGTCATTCTTTCTTCCAAGAGAGAAGAGAGGTTGGATGATTAGCGAGTACGTTTCAAATAGATGATGATTGCAATCTCAAGAATTTACTTGATTGTTTAACAATGAAAGAAGATCTAAAATTAGATAAGATGAGTGCAGACGCGATGATCAATTTAAGCAGTAATGAATTACGAATTAATTTAATGTTATCAAATTAAAAATGATTACACAGAAAAATACACACTACATTTAATTAAATGTAATCTGTTTCATGTATTTCATAAGTTTATATATCCGCAAATCCATCATAATCTCATCATAAAAGCATCCAATTTACTCAAAATATAATATTTATTTAAATTATACTCAAATTAATTTAAAACATAATCTGAATTTTCTATTATATAAAATTGGCATTTCAGTTGGTCATAATCCTCCAAATTTTTATCCCAAGGATAAATAAGGTAAATCAATTAAGATTTATTTTTATTAATTGAAGTAAATTTTCTAAGTTACCTCTGCCAAGATTAAATTTTTCAAGAAATCTGTGCCAAATTAAAATTTACGATCGATAGTTTTATATGTTACACTTAAATGCGAAATATTACTAATTTTATTAACTTTACACATGCTTTGTTAATTTTGTTCATTTTTGGTATAAATGTGGATATTACTTTGTTTTTCCATATACTACTATTAGAAAATAATAAAAAAATACCAAAAAAATAATATACACCGGCGATTTTTCAGTAGAGAATATTAAATCAAAACAAAAATTCAGTTTACTATACAGAGCCAACCAACTTTGCCTTCGATAAAATTTTACAATATTCTTGTAAAGAGAAAAGGTTCTTTTTTCTTAGTACATGATAACGAGCTTCTCTAAAATTTGTGATGAATATATTTTAAGACTATTATCAGAAAGACTATTATCAGAATAGGTTCTTTTTTCTTAGTACATGATAACGAGCTTCTCTAAAATTTGTGATGAATATATTTTAAGACTATTATCAGAAAGACTATTATCAGAATAGGTTCTTTTTTCTTAGTACATGATAACGAGCTTCTCTAAAATTTGTGATGAATATATTTTAAGACTATTATCAGAAAGACTATTATCAGAATAGGTTCTTTTTTCTTAGTACATGATAACGAGCTTCTCTAAAATTTGTGATAAATATATTTTAAGACTATTATCAGAAATTAAAAGAAAGTATTTTTTGTTGATGATAACCATTACTCTCTTAAAGAAAGAATGATAAACTAAATATATATAATGTATATATATATATAGTACTATATATAGTATATTACACACACATGCGCATACACACACACATGTATGTATATATATTACAATACATTAAATAATATATATTATGAAATATATATAAAACAAAGATATCTCATAAAAAATTTTATGATAGTATTTCGGGAATGAATAACTACATAATATTGGGTTGTATGCGCAAATATTATTTAGAAAAGTTTCCCGAGCGTGGAAATACAAGTGTGAGTATTGATTCATCGGTGACGATTTTTCACTGGAAAAGCAGCAAGGAAGCTGCGCGATATGAATCATGTCTCCATGCGCCTGAGAAATGAAATGCAGATTTCGCATGAACGATAAACGCATACCAAACGAATTTCAACCACCTTCCACATATCAAAGAAGCCTTTCGCTCTCTTTCCTCTCTCCCTCTCTCCCTCTCTCTCTCTTTCTCTTTTTCAGACAATATTAAAAATTATATTATCCATTTGAATTCAAATTCTTATATCAGAAAATGACAAAGGGCTCGCTACGGGCACATAATTCATGAAAAATTCATTCTTCTCTTTCGCACAATAAAATTTTAAGTTCTCTATTTAAAAAGTAATTTTAACATTTCTTTTAGAAACGCAACAATGCTTTTATGAAAAGAAGAATTTTTCTGTATAAACGAGCTTTTAACAAAATAAAGATCGCACTTTATCAGGAGCACGATATAGATTCGTCAAAAAAGTATATATCCAACGTATATTTTCTTCGCACATGATAGAAATGTAAAATACCAAGGGAAAAAAGACAAACCAGTCTTTACACAGAAAGCACACCTAATTTTTCGGGATGCTCGTTACGTTACACAGAATTTGCATACCGTTAAATTTTAAACGCACCGACACCACAACTGCGCGAATGAAACATCTCTTATGACCACAAAAGCATTAGAATCCGCAAACTCTCGGGCGTGGTTTAATTCTCATGGTTTCGCCGCTGTAATAGTCGTTTAGCGTACTGCTTTCTATTCTAGTGTCGACCAACCGTGCCGTAACTTTTCGCCATTATTCAGAGAAACGGCGCGCTTATCCGTGAGCTTCCCTTTCGTGAAAAGCGTTACAACGCCGTGGCAAGTGCGCGCTTGTTTATCGAAGTGATTTCCGCAGTGACATCGTATATACGTGACTGTATTCGCGCCTATGGCACGCTGTTCTGAACACCCCGAAGGGAATTTCAATTTTCTTGAGATGAAATTCTTGTTGCACAACAACCAGTCAAAACCTATGCGTCGAAAAATCTGTGATTAAAGCCCATATTAATAGTCGTCAGCTGGAACTTGTTTCATATGAGATACTCAGATTTGTATTCAGAGTTAGATGCGAGCTCTTTCAATTAAATTATAATATATGTGATATTTTTGTATATCTCTAACCGCGATTTAACTAAAAAATTCTCATTTAAATCTGAAATCAAAATCTGAGTATCTCATTAGAGACGAGTTTCATATGATAACTATTGATACTGGCCTAAAATCAGCTTGTTCAACATGCAGGCAAATTCATAAATGTCGATCGAAAAGATCGAAATTACAAGCTTCTCAAAGCGTACCTTGAAAGAAAAGAATACTTGAAAATTGATTTGTGGAATATAATATCTATTTATGAAAGTAAGTTTTATTTCACAAAAATAAATTTTATATTTCACAAAATTTGCGAAGAATTTATTTCTCAATGTAGCACTGGATATTCAAAGTTTTCAACGTTCTGAGATTCCAATACTTTCTAATTACAATCTAGTGCAATCATAACGATGTTACATGTAACACTTTATGATCTAAAATGTCATAATACCGTTTGGTATCGTGTGAAGTACATGAAGTTACATAAACAAGTGGCGCGTAAAATGTTGCATTTTAAAAGCTACGTTTATATCGCGCGTTTTCCGCATGAATGTAGTGTCAGCAAGAAGGACATGAACCATATACAATACAAATATATATTTCCTGTAGCTGTGTCATTGCGGTAGAATACTTCGTGTCTAGCACTTTTCGTATAAGAACGTATATACTCGAAATGGTATAGAGTAAATAAATGATATGACATTTATTGCGACACCTCCTATTACTCGTGCATGACACGTCATTTGCACTTGCCAAAATATCGCGTACGCCGCGCCGTTGTCGAACCTAACGCACGCGGAATTTTATAAAATCATGCCCATATATTTCGCAGAGAGAACGAAACATAAAATAATATTTGACAAATTTGTCAAACGTTGTGTAGAAATTTTCTAGAATCATATAAAAGCCGCTACTTCCAAATTTATGAAAAGTTCTTTATTTACCATATTCATATTACATATTTATCATTGATCCATTTTAGTATTTATTCCCGTTAAAACGTTCTGGCGATATTTTTTTCTAAAGAGCTCATCATTTATGCATTTCACGTGTTCGTTGTTTGATAAATATAAAAGTTTGCATTAGGAGATCGTGTATATATTCGTGGAAAGGGCAAAGGACAGCATATTTTATGAGATGTTTGAATAAATGTAAATCAGGGCGAACGACCTGACGGAGAAGAAGGAAATAGAACAAATAAAGCTGCGTGCACATTAGCGTGACTCACATGTCGAACGGTCGCGGATACTGCAAACAGCTGTGCCTCGCATTCTGTTGGTAACAGTTGTGCAAATGCTCGCGTATTAGAGTGCGAATTAATTCTTAGAATAGTGCAACAGATATGTAAACATCGAAATGCTATGTCCCAGCTCAAATATCAGCGTCGAAGAAATTGGCGTTCAAAGTGTAGTCTACTTGCATGTGTCGAAAGATTATTTATAACTGTGTGCAATCAAGCACGCACTCCGTTGTGATTTGAACATCAACAAAGGATCATATGTATTCGCGCAATTTCACATTGATTACACGATCGGCGATACTCTGTGCGTGATCTCTCACGAGAAATAATTAGCATAAAGAAATGACAAAATTTCAACGTAAGTCGGATTAGACGCGTGTCTTTATTTACTTTCGATTACGCGCCGTTGTGCCGTCAGGCGTCAGTTTCGGCAACGAACCTCTCAAATATTATTTCTGAAAATCATCGGATAAGAGCGAAATATTGTGGGCGATCACCCGCGGCGGCAGCTTGTCGCGAAACGAGGAGCATTGACTCAGCTCCACATTACGCGCCGCCACCGGCTGGCTGGGATTCCACGAATATTTTCACGCTACGGTTCCTGACGTTCCTCACTTGTTCATCTCTTCTGCCACGTGATCGTAGACTTTCCCTCTCTGCCGTCGCGCGCCCGCCGGTTTAGAATAACTCGAAGCTCCGAGGTGCTTCCGACCATTCGCGAATTCGATCCCGGGTGATTCGCGTCTTAGTCGTAGCCGGAAAGCGTGCAAGAGTGCCGTCATGGAAATCGTCAAAGGTAAGCTCTCGATCGGCATTGGATTTTTCGCATCGCGAGGTCACGCTTCAAAGCGCTATGTGCAAATTCCAACGTGGAAAACGCAGGTACCCGGCAGTCGCAGAATTCGATTGTTGTTGCGCGCTACCGATAGCGAATACGTTTTTAATCCGTCGCTCTGAAGCGCTCTGAAGCACTCTGCAGAGCTGATGTAACATTCGATGGTGAAAAAATCGACACCCAATTATCCGAGAGCTTTTTCTCCCGGGATTGGCTCCATTATTCGACGGTGTTCGATACGGCACGCGCAATTTTCGTTAGCTCACGCGCGCGCGAGGATGAGGAGAATCGTAATCTCGTCGAATATGCGGCCGAATAATGGCGTCGTTCGCTCTTCACCTTTGTCTAATCTGATAACCGCGCTCGTTATATTGAACGAGCAACGTTGCCGTTGCGTTCACATAATGACGTATTGTTACAGTGGCAGCTGTTCGTGATTCATCAATTATTCACCGCTATTTGTAACGTACTGTGATTGTCCACTGATTTCACATCTATTGGTTTTCCGTTGTCCGCTATCGTTGTTTACCCTACGTTCACAACGTTTCCCATTATTAACCGGTACCCACGGCAGATCACGCTCTGTCTATTTTCGCATAATATCAATTAGCCCTTAGCTTCAATCGACATTAATTAAACGCGTTAATTGCGATTCCGCGGAATATCACGTATAAATAAATGCCCGTGAAACCCGGTGATCGATCTTCGACGAGGATCCTCGGGATATAATTCGCACATATAGAGGAATAATTCACTGTTCTTTCAGCAAACGACTCGTCCAGCAGCCTCGTCGAGCAATCTATGAACGTGTCGTCCGCGACGAAGTCCGTTTCGTCGACGAAATCCGTACAAAGCGTCCAGTCAAAGTCAGTCGTGGAGTCGTCGACCTCGGTTAAATCCGTCACTTCCTCGTCCACCAAGTCTCAACAATCGATGGAGTACGAGGAGTCGATCGAGTACAGCGAGTAGTGTTAGAGAGAGCAACGTGAATCCTCCCAAAGAAAAAAGAAAAGACATCATGCGAAGAGAGGCTAAGGACTAAGCGATCGCATTCGGCTGGATTAGTCGTATTGAGGATATATTCACCCCTTCAAAATCATGCATCATCACGGACACGTCGCTCGACTCGATCGTCCAACCTCCCTTCACACGCAGAGAAGACCACGTCAGAAACGGCAAACTGTTGCAGATAACATTCATCAGAGACGAAAATCAGGAAAATCAGAATTCGTTCGCGGCTCGCGAGTTGCCGGCCAATCCGAGCTCGAGGATCACGGTCGACGATCAAGGAGGCGAAGGGAAATCGAATCGACGACGACGGGTCAAGGCGTCCACTCGTCGGGGTCACGGCACCGAAATAACAAGCCGTCACACGCACAGTCGCGCCGTGCCGATGATTGTGACAAGAAGAAATACGACGAGTCAGACGAGAGACGGACGGAGAAGAAGAAATTGAAAACGTGCACGCGCGAGGGAACGTTCGGAAGCCTCTGGCCCTCTTCCAATCGACGTGGTACGCCGCCAAATAGCAGCTCACCCCCTCCTTTTCCCTCGAAGCATCTTCCCCGTTCGGCTGCGTTACCATCCACCTCGTGAATACGCAAATCATTCTCTGTCATGGTCGCACCTCGGCGCGCGACCTCACCATTGTTCATTTATCTTTGTACAATAAATTGCGTAGACATCGCCGACGCGTTTCTTCTCTCACTGACCCTAATTGCACGATGTATAATTAACTGTCCGGTCTATCGGGTTGACGCGCGGCGCGTAGAGCGTGTTATGTAAATTTTAATTGTCGCCGGAATCGCTCATTTTCCAATTACGCCAGCGCGCATGCTCTTGCATAGAAATTTCTAGAGCGATGGGTGCGTGTGTGCTTATGTATAGACATAAATTTCACCCTCAGAGCGAATAGAGAGATTATTCGTGTCCGAATACTCTTAACAGCTTTGCATTTCTGCTCACGGAATTTCTGAGGCTTTTTGTACTCTAAAAAGAAGTTAGATAATATAGCAAGAGCATTTCGGGTTCAGTAACAAAATTCGTCGGTTATTGTCTGAATAGTAACAAACCAACCAAACGCGAGTAACTCCATTATTGACTAAAATGTATACTTTTTACATAGGTAAGTGAAAATTTGCTTTTATTTATATACTTTATATTTCAGTCATTTTTTAAGTTATTTAACTTATAGGACATTTTTAAATATTAATAAAGTCGTTGAACTGGACAAACACAGGAACGGTTAACAAAGTTCTTGCAAATGTATATATTTCTTTGCCAATTTCTTGTGTTCCTTCTTTTTTTACTTTTATATAATATTTAAAAATGTTTTCTTTTATATTATTTTGCCTTATTTTCTTAACATTTTTAGATGTCAAAATATTTCAATTTTTTTCATTATATCATAATAAACTATGTTTTTTATTAATTGTTACAATTTTATATATAAATATAAATCACAATTAAATATAATAATATTAAATATAAGCCATAAATCTATTTTATAAGAAATTACAGAAATTATGATTTTTTAAACAAAGTAATTTTTTCGTAGTTGTTCAACAACCAATTAAAAAGTCATATATATCTTACTTTTTTTAATGGCTTCATTTATTAATTAACACTTGAAGGAAGCTATATAAATTTTTTCAAAATTTTTCAACAATTATAAATTGACGAAAATATGAGTGACCGCCCTATTTACCCTATTAAGATGCCGAAAATACCTATTTACCATAAAGGTTAACCTTCTACATACCTGGGTCGACATTTTAGCCCTATTTTCAACCTAAACTTTCTAACAACTGTATATTCTATAGGATCAATGTATATTTAGTATACATGAAAACTGAAATCCTATCTAGCGCCTCTAAATGGTACAACATGCACAAAGTGCCATTTTCCATAAGTTCTAAAGAGGACTTCTTGGGAAAGCTCATAAGCTAAATAGAACCAAAAGGACTTAATATAAGCTTCAACGTATCAAAGTAAACATTAATAAAATATTGAGCAAAATCAAAATATCTACTTAAGTACAAACATGTATATTTTTAGGACATGCAGTACAATCTGAGTCTGTTCAGACGCGGGCACTTTTGAACTGCTATTATTTTGTTGAAAATCTATAATTCTAAACACATTTGTTATGAAAGATATAGAAAAGCTAATCTATAAGCCAACAGAGCGCAATAAAACCCACAGACAGATTTGCACTATTTTAAAATTGCCCCAGGCCCTTTGCGAAAGTTCGTGAGCAATCGCATATTCGTTCAGGTCTCACAGAAGCGTGCATTCACATGCAGACTAGAAACCAAGACGTTAATCGTTTACAAGCCAGAATTAATCATTTCATTGCAACGCAGAGAAGTAGATTTAAATGAAAAATAAAATTTTGTATTGTTGAAATATACATAACATAACATTTGGAGAATACTGTTTTTCATAGAAAATAACGCAATACTAAATAGCAGTGCTTGGGCCACTGAGCTAGTTCTGAATTCGCACGACGGTAATGTCTCTCCCTAATTATCGAAAACGCGTTGTGACACCAAACGCGTCGGCGCTAAAAGATTCAGAAATGAAGTCGTAACTCTACGCGAGCAGCTTCTCTCGCATGCTTAAAGTGTCACGTGATTCATTTCTCGTCTAATCCCCCCCCTCTCTCTCTCTCTCTCTCTCTCTCCCCCTATCCCTCTCTCCCCTCCCTCTCTCCATCCCTCCCTCACCCCTCTCTCTCTCTCTCTCTCTTTTCTCCCTATCTCCATTTTTATCTTCCTCTTTCACTCGCCTAGCCTTTTATCATATGATACTAAACCGAAGGCTAACACGAGACTCGACGGCAGAAGGAAAAACCGAGTCGATCAAAGGAAATACGATTTAAGGGATGATGGAAAACTCGGGAGTGGAAGAGCCAACAGGGGAGTAGTAAAGAGGAGCCGCCGAGCGAGTCAGCAAGGGCGACACCCTCTAAAATGGAATAACGTTACCAACGGCTCACACGACACGCAATAAGAAACATCGAAAGTTTCCAAGCCGCGCCAACTTCGATATAACGCACATCGTCAGAATTTACGACACGTAACTGTCGATGAAAGGACCGCTTGGTACCGGCGTTGGCACACGGGGTAGTTGAGGGAATCTTGGCATAGCGATAACAGGACGGGGTTTCAATATCCTGTCGCGCGCGGCAAATAGAGCAAGCGCACCCGCGAGAATATGGATTTCTCAGGGACGCTTTGCAACTGCGGGGCGGCTCGCACGGCTCTACAGGAAGCACCAACTTGCCTGTATTTTAACGAGTGACATCCCTTTCCCGCGATTGATTCCAAACTTTGAAGCTCTATAAGCGGACTCTGTAGGCGATATTTATTGCAACATAATACAATCTTCGCAAGTCGATTGTGGTATCTGATGAGAGGTCACAATTGCATGAATTTGTGACGAATGCATTTATATTTTCCGTATAAAAATAATTGTGTCAAAGAATAATTGTTGTAAGCTTACTGGAAAAATTTATCTTTGATTCCAAAGCTATTTATCGAAAATTCTCTTCTGAGGAGCTTATAAAATTATGTATTATGGTAATTATTCAATAAATTCGATTGAACGACACAAAACAATTTAACTATATCATTAACAAATGAATAAAGAATACATAAGAACGCAACTTCGATATTTCTGTTTTCCGCACTTTCCTAACGACAACTCCTGTACCGCACACGTATTCACAAAGAAGAGCCGTTTATCGCCTGTGACCGCGTTTCTAACAGTTTGTTGTTTTTTTTTTACTAGTGTCTCGCTGCAAATTAAATCCAGCTACTTAGTGTCGTGATTATTTCCCAAGCCAAACTATTCAAATCTTTTACAACTCTTAAATTATTACTATATTTTTAAATAATAATGGAACTTTCACTCGTACGTGAAATACGAACTTGCGGAATATGAGTGATGAAATATTTTAGTGTTGTCTGCTTTTCTTCGGTATTTTGTGTTCTATTTAGATTATATTTTGTACAAATTATATAAGACACATCAAATAGTGTCGCATCAATACACAAAAGATAATAATGTAGTCAGATTTTGTCCAGACAAAAAGTAAACATAAGTATCACAAAAAGTAATGTTAAGAGAAAACTTTTCATACTTAAGCGAGCCATATCTTCCATTCTAATGCACTCAATCACGAAAGGTGATGCTGATTTAACCGAGATGGATCGTTTACAGGAATCCTCACTAAAGCGGGTCACATACATCATCGGGACAATCTTCCAATGTCCGTTTAGAGATCGTGTGCGATAGGGAGAAATAGAATGTGAATCGCGCTGACTTTCCATATTTGACGCGAAAGGTCATCCCTTACGTCATCAATATTGGGATGATGAAAATGATGTCGCGTTCCAAAGCTTCAAATTCATTTGAAGTTAACAAAATTCTGTACAAAAAGTCACTGTCCCCAAAATTTGGCGTGCTGTAACTCATTTTCCAATAGCCCGGCCTATTCTAGCTTTGAAGTTGGTAAAAAGATGGTGAAAGATGATAAAAAGATTCCAAAGTTGGTCAAACAAAGATACATTCGAAAAAATATCTTTTTCTCAGATATAATATCTGATATCTGATATCTGATATTTCATAACTTCGACGTCGCGATGCGAAAACACTTTCACAAAAATATCCTCAACGTTGGGAATGACGATAAAAAGTTGTTTCAGTTTCTCGTTTCGAGGAAATCTACGAGAAGTAAATATTGATGTCGGAACTTCAATATATTAACTTCGATATTCGTTCTCCGCTGATTTTGCCTATTTCGATTAACAAATTGATCCACTTTCCTGTATTTTATAATATGATAGTAGTCCTGATGCCAAAGTTATTAGGTTAATACAAATATCTTCTTATAAGTCAAAGTATTTTCTTTTTGAACGCTTGGAGGATAACTACGTATAATACCTCTTGGAGTATAATACCTCTTTGTAAGATTCAAATTTATATTCACGACCATGCCGTGAATATAACTTCAAGGGATGTGATTTTACCTTGAACGCCGAATAAGGCTTGGAAGGTACCTGTCGAATATGCAATTTATCATATTACATCAAGCCTAGATAGGATTCTAATTTAAGAAGACCTATAATAAAAGTAAAATATATTGCAAGTATCCGACGGGAACAAGGTCAATTCTTAAGAAATATTTAAGATGGAATTAAGAGGATGCTGGAGTCGATAACGAACTGCTCTTCCAAAAATGTCAATGTAGAAGCGATCGTCACTAACATAATCACGTTATCCTTTTTGTATTTCTTGTAAATATAAATCTTAAGTAAATGTATGTTACTTGTTTATATTTAACGAAAAACCTAACCACGCATACATATATAAATCTTTCTGCAAACTTTTTCGATATTTTCAAGCTTCTAAATTCAGATTTAAAGGTACAGCAATGTTCTTTGAAATTTTTCTAAACGAAGCAAACTCGCGTCCAGTATATATAAGTTACAGATCTTTCGTATCGGGAGAATTAATTTACTTTAAAGAGAATGCTGAAGTCGATAACGAACTCAAACAATATCGATAACGTAGAAACAATATAATACAATCACGCTTTTCTTTTAGTAAATATTATATATAAAGAACATACGTAAATGTATATTGTTTTACCATTTTCAACGGAAAACCTAATTACGCATGTG